TTCCTTTTTTTTTTTTTTTTTTTCATAATTCATACAAGAAGCACTTTCATTTTATTTTTAAAAATAAAGAATGCACCGAATATCTTTTGGTGGAACGTTTCAATTGGAGGAAGGACATCGAAATTATTGGTCTAAAAATTTGTAAAAGAATTTAAAAATTGAACAGTATTTCTTATTAATAACTATTGAACCATTGTGGGAGTTGATATCGACTTTCTATGTTTCGTCACCTTCGAGTAACTATTCCATTGAATAATTGATGAAACAGTTGAGTTTGAATAGACAATTTCTTACTTTATTTAATAAACTTGTCTCATTACAAGCTGAATAGTATTAACAACTATTGAACCTAATAAATTCTTTAACTACCCTGTTTTAAAAATAAATATTTTTTAAAAATAATCTTACTTTTTCATTAAAAAAAAAAAAAACTTATAATATTGAAAAATATAATGATTAATATTAATGATAAGGTTTTGTGCACAAAACAAAAAAAAAATTGTTTAAAAAAAAAGATAATATTATAGTTCTAAATATTACTAATGGATTTATCATAAAAATATAAATTTATACTTTGGCGTTATTTATTTTTGTATCATATCCATGATATATAAAGTAATAATACTATGTATTTTATGAGAAATATTACATATACACTATGAGTTGGTGATAGAAATTTGGTGGGCTCAAGTTGGGATTTGGGCCCACAATGCAAGCGTGGTAGATTTGGATTTGGATTTGGATTTGGAGGGGCAGCCCATTAGTGACTTTACATCATCGCGCGTGATGGGCTGGGCCCATTTAATCAGCACACGTGTGGCTCATCAACACGTGTGCCCACTCATCCTTCCATAACATCCGCAAGTGGACCGTTCTCCTATAATTTACTTTTCCTTCCCTTTGAAATTTGTAGGCGCCTTACCAATTTGATATTCATGATTTGTACTCAAATTTCAATTTAGTTTGTATATTAATTCTTTTATGAGTTTTCGTGTGATGACATGAGCGCCGCCCTTCGCCGCCCTCTTCCAACCCTCCGGTGGCGTCGCATAAATTCATCCACCATTATTCACTACATCAACCTTAGCCAAAATGTCATCGAACTCAAGAAAACTCATGCCCTTATAATCAAATCCTCACCCAAAGCCCATCTTCTCCGCCGTCTCTTCACCCGGCTGCTTCAGTTTCCACCTGACACTTTGTTCTATGCCCACGAACTGTTCGACAAAATACCCAACTTCAAAAATCAGTTCACATGGACTTCTCTCATTCGCTGTTATGTTCACCATTACCATTTTGGCCAATCCATATCCTTGTATGCTATGATGCAGCACGCAGGCGTTCTGGAATCAGCGTTTACATTCTCTTCCGTGCTCTTGGCCTGCGCTAGTATACCAGTGGTGTCTGAAGGAAGACAAGTGCATGCAAGGATTGTGCAGTTGGGTTTCTTGAGAAACAAGATTGTGCTAACTTCGCTGATGGATATGTATGCTAAATGTGGATTCATGCTGGATGCTAGGAATGTGTTTGTTGCAATAGACGATAAGGATATCGTTGCTTGGACTACTTTGATTCGAGGATACTGTAAGTTGGGAATGATGGATGATGCACAGGAGTTGTTTGATAAAATGGGGCAGCGAAATTCATTTTCTTGGACAACTATGGTGGCTGGGTATGCCAACTGCGGCAACATGAAAGCTGCGAAGCAGTTGTATGATGCAATGCCAGGGAAAGGTCCAGTTTCTTGGCTTGCTATGATAGCAGGTTATGGGAGGTGCGGCAACATCGTAGAGGCCGAAAAGATCTTCAGTGAAATATCAGTACCAGATGCATTGTGTTGTGCAGCAATGGTGACTTGTTATTCTCAAAATGGGCATGCAAAAGAGGCCATTGAATTGTACAAGAAAATGAAAGAAGAAAATTTGGAACCCAATGAGGTAGCATTTGTAGGAGCAATATCAGCTTGTGTTCAACTGGGGGATGTTGAGATGGCCAGCAAATTAACTAACCAGGTTGAAAAAGGGTGCTGTGGTAAGTTCGTTATGCTATATTCAGGGTCAAAGGCTTTCCAGCACTTGAGTTTGACTAATATGATAGAATGTAGAATCGAGCAAGGGCTTGATTTGAAGCCTATAAATCAATGACCTTACTCGAACAAGATCTGTTCTATAGGTTGTCCAACTGTGTCATTGAGTTCTAAGTTCTAAAGCCTATAAATCATAGAAGACAAGACAAAAGTAAAGGACAATTCTCTATTCTAAAATAAAAATGCTAATGTCTTATTGGTTTTTTGTTTGAAATGCAGATCGGAATCTCTTTGTCTCCAATGCACTGATGCACATGCATTCAAAATTTGGCGATATTAAAAAGGCACGAGAAGAATTCAACAGAATGAAGGATAGAGATGTGGTAACTTACAGTACGTTGATCACAGCCCTTGCTGACCATGGAAACGCCAACGAAGCCTTGGATCTCTTCTCCAAGATGCAAGAAGAAGGTATAAAGCCAAACCAAGTTTGTTTCACTGGTGTACTAAATGCCTGTGGCCATGCAGGGATGATTGAACAAGGATGCAAGCTTTTTGAACTTATGAACAAGGTTTTCGGCATTGAGCCGCTAAAGGAGCATTATACCTGCATGGTTGATCTCCTAGGAAGAGCTGGTGAGGTTGAAACGGCATACAGTCTTATAAAGGGTAAGGTAAGGGCAATTGATGCTAAAATATGGGGGTCATTGCTAGGAGCTTGCAAGATCCATGGTAATGTGGAGTTGGGGGAGATTGCTGCTAGGCATCTATTTGAAATGGAGCCTGAGAATACAGGAAATTATGTGCTTTTGGCAAATACATACGCTCAGAGGAAGGAATGGGATGAAGCAGAGAGGGTTAGGAATATGATGGCTGAAAGAGGAATAAAAAAATCTCCGGGGTACAGCTGGATAAGATCTACATAAATGAGCATTTTTCTGAACTAGTTCAATGTTGTAGGGATATTTTTGTGCACATGTACATTTGACAGGTCAATATTAGTAGACAAAATATGTATTCAGAACGTTCAATACAAGGCAATACGTTCTTCAGGTTGTAATAGAAGAACCCTAATTGTTATTTACAACAAGAACAAATGATTCTACCGATTACTATACTAAATCCATGTCTGCTCTTCTAAACTCCTATGTGCCTTCTCTATACATGTGTGCAACATTTCCGTAGAAGCTGTTGTTTCTTCTATCAATATACTACAATCTGATATATAAGAGAACAGTAAGAATTAGACACAAAAGTAATTCAAATTTCAATATTTAAATCAAACTAACAGATAAAAGTTTTGGCCTATCTTTCATAAATTCATAATTTTGAGAACATTGCATGGAATTGTAGTTCTAGTCAATCTAAACATTTAAAATACAAAGGATTTCTTATCAATAACTTCCAATAACATCATGGTCTAAGAAGGACTTGCCGTTGCTGAGCAAAGCCAGTGAATGCAACACAATAATCGCTCATCAAAACCTTCGTGGATTGATTGAGGATATAAAACTAACCGGATATGTCACAATCTTCAACGAGTAGTAGCTCTACTTCAAACAAGCACACTCCAGATCTACGTGGTATTATCAAATGCTGTAATTAAGTTTTTAAAGGAGCCTTCTTTTCTCTGTCAGATATTCGAGCTGGACCTGTTGTATGTGACTTGAAACGACCTCTCCCTCCCTCTTCCTTTTCCTGAAAAATCAAATTGCAGGTTGCAGGTGTCATATTAACAACCAAAATACACAAATAAATAAAATCTTTCATTTCATAATAAAAAAGAATAGTGAGGAATCATGTCATAGGTTCCAAAAAGTTCGAACAATTACTAAGGAAAGGCCCCAGTTAAATTAGCCAAGACAAACAACTTTCTGTACCTTTTTCTTAACAATCTGGACCACATCCTCGTCATGAAGAACATGACCAAGGCCACAATGCTGAGGATAGTGCCTTGCACTTGTACCCCATACAAGAACGTATTTAACATCTTTAACCAAACTCCTGTGGATATGATTGCAGAAGTCCTCGACTGTACAGCCACCTCTATCCTAGAATTACATTCATGGAGTAGTGTCAAAAAGAAAAGGATTAGAACAAATACATCAATAAATGGTTCTAAAAAGGGAAAAGGGAGGGTAAGGCATACAGCAGAAAGAACAACTGGATCTGAGAAATCAGGTTGTTGGCCTTGAGGCTTGGTATAAACCCTAACAAGGCCCATCTCCTCCCACATCCTAGATAGTAGTCTGTCTAAGTTCAACTGTCCAAATAAAATCCATTTCAACTGGTAAGTCACATATAAACAACGGATCTACTGCTTATACTACCTTGAGTTCACACCAGATGTGATGTGAATGTAACTTAACTACAGGTTCAGAATATATGGTAACATTTTATTATTTAAACAAATAGAAGATTAGAGAAAACCAGAAAAGATTGGGCATATCAGCACGTTACATTCAAAACTCAGAAGCAAAACTGCTGAAGATTTTTTAGTGCGAGAATGCAAGACATGTTACAATATTTATTCAATATGAATATCCAAAGGCAAATAAACATTAAATTCTCCATTCAAACTAGGAGGAAACTGAAATGATAGAACATACCTTGAGATTACAACTAATGACAACAGAATTGGGCTGACGGGCTAACTTGTCTACATCGTCAATACCAACTACATCAATCTTGTTGTAGACATACACACATTTCATGTACTTGCGGTTCCCCTCAATTACATCAATAAGATCATCAACTGTAGCATCCTCTCGAAAGAGTACCTGGAGAAAATGACATATTCCATTGAGAAGTCTTCAGAAAAATCAAACATAACGGGCATGTGGATATTTTAGATGTAGAATGGTGTAAAACTAGCCTAATATCCTCTATCTATGAACATGCACAAAAAAAAAACGTTAAAAAAAATCATACAGAAGAAAGAGAAAAATATTCATGCATATGTGCTGCTTAAATTCCTCACCAAAAGGTCAACCTCCAAATACTT